CTGTGATTAACCAGCGGGAACGTGTGCGGGGGGAGCGGCACCGGCCCCGGGGGGAGCGGGGCCCCACAGCCCCCTCCTTATCCTCCTCCGTCCCTACCCCTACCCCTGACCCCAACCCTCTCCCCGGGAAAACCCCATCCCTTCTACCTCCTGCCCTTCCCTGCTCCCTGCCGTGCCTCTGGCGGCGGCCACGGACACCAGTTACCGATCCAACTGGTGTTTGGGTACCTGACCCCACTGGGCTGCGCCGGGCGTTCAGCATCCAGCTGAAGGGGTAGGGGAGGAAAGGTGAGGAACGCGGGAGCTAACCACTGAACCCTTTCTTCCCAGAGCCTGCCCTGCCGTACTCCAGCAGCGACATCGTTCATCCCATCAAGGTTGACGAGAGCGGCTCGTTCCTGTCCTACGATTTGTCCCACCGGGCACTTCACCGAAGGTCTCCTTCCTCCAGGAGCAAGTTTCTTGCCTTCTATGAACTGCATTACAAAGGACAACCCCTGAAATTCAACCTGAGCCTCAACCACAACCTCCTGGCGCCCGGCTTCGTCAGCGAGAGGCGATACGGGGGGATCGCTAATGCCAAGATCCAGTCTCACGCGTACAACAACTGCCATATGATCGGGGAGGTGCAGAGCCGGGCGCTGGCGGGAGGGCTGGCCGTGCTCAGCACGTGTGATGGTCTGGTAAGTACAGAGACTTTTAGTCAATAAGGAAATAGCAGAAGGTGTGTGAAATCCTTTTTTCTGCTGAAAGCAATAGCAAAATTCCCCCTGCCAGCGGCAGAGTCGGGGTCTCTTCGCGTAGGTTTGATGCATCTGTGGATGAGCTGACTGTAAATTTCCCACGGATTCCAGTGCTTTGGGAACTCTCCGGGACTGTGCTTACTTGTTTCTGTCCAAATTCCCAAAGAGAGCAATACTCATATCGCCTCCGCCTTCTAGTACATAAACGTAGGATTGTGAGAAACACATGTGAAAATGAGCCTGAAGGGTTTACGGTAACGCAGCTCATGTACAGTGAAACTTCTTTATGTTTTGTGAACACCTCCCCGGCCTTATTGCACTGCAAATATTTTCAAAGGTGATGGTGACCTGTAAGAGTGTAAGTTTTGCTGAAAGGCGAAGCGACTTTTACAACTAAGACCCTTGTGTCGGCGCTCAGCAAGGCAAACTCGGGACTTCAGTGTAAACGTCTGTGTGTGCATTCACCGGCACCCAGCTAGCGCGGGTACCACGTCCCCGCAGGGTTTAAAACCTCTTGGGGGTTTGCAGAAGTGGAACCATATAACTTGGTAGCCCCCGTGATACGCACCCCCCCGTTCCCGAGCAGGGGCCATGGGATGACAGAGGTGCTGGGGTTCCCCAGAGGCGGTGGGTGTATGGGGGGGGTGTTCTCCTTCCCAGGGGCTGACGCCGGGAAAAACCCTCCACGTCCCAGCACGGGCACGGGGCGGAGCGGGGAATCTCCAGCCGTGTTCCCCCCTGGGTTTGGAAGGATGATAACTGCATTGCATCGTGGCTCTGCTGGCTGCCGCGGGTGGCTTCGCTCGGCTGGGGGCTGTGTGGGCATTTTAAGCTCCCTGCGTTTAACTAAAGGCAGGTGTGTGTCTGTATGCCGAGGTAGCCTGGTCGAGCGGGGCGGCTTTTAAATGGAAGGTCTGCAGAGGCCACCCCAGGCACTGCGCTTTGCCCGGAGGCGCAGGGCTGTGCTGCTGGATTTTGGGGAGAGCAGAGGGAGCGCAGCCCACAGGCGTGCGGTGGGGAGCATCGCTGCTGCCTCTCCAACACCTGAACCCACCGTGGCGCAGGGCAGGGCAGGAACTGGGCTCATCCTGGAAGGTGTTGGTTGCTCTTTTCCTACTATATTTAACAGCATGTGAGGGTGTTTGGCACCCTGCGCTTCATGCAGCAGCCCTGGCTCGGGGGGGATGGAGACTGCAGAAAATAGCCAGGGCCATCATTCGGGTAAAAAACAGATTGATGCACCTGGGAGGAACCCACAACCTTTTGATTTGTTTCTCTTTGAATGTTTGTATGAGAGAAACAGTGATGGCTGCAGCGCACGCAGAAGCAGAAGGTGTCCTGAGTGCTCCCGTGAACGTCTGTTTACACATGGACACCCTCACCCTCCTCCCCCAGTAATAATATATGATGGTTCTGGGAAGCTTTGTGTGGCCTCGTCCTGCCAGCGAGCTGCAGTCTGCCATCAGACTGAGAAATCTCGTTTTCCAGTGTGAGTCAGGCAAAATCAGGCTGCTAATAGCGAACGGGCTGAAGGATGTTCACCCAGGTCATTTGAAATACATTCTGGTTAGGAGAATTAAACTTCTCTCTGTGAATTAACCACAGATGGGAGAGCAAAAAAAGAAGCAACTCATTAAGTAATTTGTCATCCACATAATGTGTCACCTGAAAACGTCCATTTCATAGTGGTATTCGGTGAACCCCGTAATTAAGGTCTGTAAAGGGTGTTGAAAAAGAACAGTATTGCACAAATGCTATGGATTAGTATTTTTTTTAAGAAGCAGAAAATATTGTTAGCTCTCAAGAGGCATTAGCACAATGTTGCGAGAGGGTCTGCAGCCCATAAACTGCGAGTGGCGAGCAAAACTCAACCTGAAGTTGTTTTAAACCTCTAAGTCTTAAAACTGCCACGGCTTTTTGTCAGACAGATACTAAACCACAGAAAACTGCCCTTAGCAGTGCGCTGCATGGCTCATGATTACTGTGGAAAGTAAAGTGTATTCTGAGCTACTGCTTCATAGAATCACAGGATGGATTAATCACAGGCTGGAAGAGACCTTGAAGACCACCCAGTGCCACCCCTGCCCTGGGCAGGGCCACCTCCCCCCAGCCCAGGTTGCTCCAAGCCCCGTCCAACCTGGCCTTGAACACCTCCAGGGATGGGGCAGCCACAGCTTCTCGGGGCAACCTGCCCCAGGGGCTCACCGCCCGCACAGGGAGACAGTTCTTCCTCACATCTCATCTCAATCTGCCCTCTTCCAGTGTGAAGCCATTCCCCCTCGTCCCATCACTCCATGCCCTTGGAAAAAGTCCCTCCCCAGCTCTCCTGGAGCCCCTTTAGGCACTGGAAGGGGCTCTGAGCTCTCCCCTTTTTGGCCTTCTCTTCTCCAGGCTGAACCCCTCCAACTCTCCCAGCCTGTCCCCGTACATTACATTACTCAAACGCCCCTTGTAAGCATGGTTGGCATTACAGGGTGTATACAAGGAGCGTGCTGCGGCTGTGGGAGGGCACAGAGCTGTAGACAGGGCAGTGCATTACATTTATACACATAACGTGGTGGTGCTGCCACCCTGTATTTCAAGCCCAGCCTCGCTGCAGGGAGAGCGCTCTGCCGTTCCCAGTTGTAAAGCACGTGCTGCTTGTGGCGGCCTCGCGTGTTGAACCGAATCGCATCAGTGCCTCGAAGGGTCGATTCCCCATTACCCACTGTTGGCGCCGCCCCCGCTCCAGCATCCGTTAGCGATGTAGCACACCGTGGCTGTGCCTCGTTTGACACCCTTGGCCGCCTCCGACATCCCTGTTCCCATCACCAGCCTCCACCTTTCTTACAGCACTACTGTAAGACTTTAAACTCCTCCTGTCAGTGATTTTAGAACAAAATAGTGGCAAGAGCTGGGTTCTGCTCTCTCTTGCATAGTTTTGCCAGTGCAATTTTGTCTTCTCCAAGGTTATTTCTTACTCTTGTTGCAGACCGTGGTGAGGGAGCAGGAGACAGGGCATAGAGGTTCTGGTGCTGCTTACCGGGCTGGACTGGGACACGCAAGGTGCAGAAAGGTTAACCGGGTGTGTTTTAAACAGAGAAAGACAGACCTTCCCATGGGTGCTTCTGCAGAACCAGCCGGTGACAGAGCGTGGCCCCCGGGCAGAGCTCAGCCGCGGCAGCGACCTCTGCTCCCTTCCTGGCTCGGAATAACCTGCATCAGGAAATGGAGAAGGAACCGTATCGGTGGCCTCCTTCCCTTCCTCCCCATCCCCATGCTGTTTCCTTCTTGTTATTTTGCCTTTGCAAGGAGTTAATTAGGGAGGAAGCCGTTCTCTCCTCCCCAGCGAGAAGGGGCAGAGCAGTGAGAAAGCGTCACGAGCGGGCTCGGTCCTGTTGTGTCTTGGAAGCGTGGTGACAGCTGTAGAGGCATGCTTTGTCCCTCTCTCTTTGTCCCGGCCCTGTCCTGAGGTGTGAAAGTAATAAACGTGTCAGAGCAAAAGCCTGGTGGTAAGCAAAGCTGAGCACGGACGGGCTCCCGGGGCAGCGTAGGACACCTCAGCCTGCTCCGGACGCTGTACGGCTGCTCTGGAGCAACCAAGAGCAGATGGAGTTGTCTTATGGCGCACAATACCTTTACAAAACACTCCTCTCGGCAGCGCCCTGACTGGCCGAATGACGCTGCGGACTCCCGCAGGAGCCCCCGTTCCTTGGGATGAAGCTGCCCACGCGAAGAGCCTCCCACGCAGCGATCGCGGCTGTGCGTTGGTGCGATGCAGCGTGGAGGCTGGGGAGTCCTGCGCGAGTCCATGCCCACGTGCCGCAGCTGGGCCAGGTCAGGGGGGTCGTAATTAACCAAAGAAAGTTTCAGGGTGACATTTCCCGCTAAAGGAGAGATGCCGATAACACATCCTCCCGTCGCTGCGTGGAGGGGCTGTGCTCCTTGCCCTGGGACTGACTTCCCTGGATTGGAGCTTCTCCCACGATCAAGTGCTGCTGCAGGTTCCTCTTCCCTGGAGGTTTTCTGGTCTGTGACCACGGGAAGCCTCTAGCCGACG